GCTTGGGGGACACGAGACCCACTCCAGAGAAAAGCACCAGTAGGGCAAGGCAGCTACTTCTGCTCACTGGGAAATGGGAACAACCACAACAGGGCTGATGCTCATCCCACACGGGGCAGGCATGGCTTCTGGGGCCCAAGCCTCCAAATGGACCTCCATGGAGGCGGCTGCCAGAGCTCTGCCATATTCTAACTGGGGGAGAAGAGCACGGTAATCTCAAGAGTCTAAGCCGGCATCGAGAACGTTTACACTCCGCTCGTCCTGGGGGGGTGCAGCCCAAGGGGGCCTGTTGTGTGTTGGGGGGAGGGCGGGATTATCAGGGAGAATACCACTAACACGCTGCAAGACACAGGCGATCTGGGCACTGGAGAGACATTCCCAGAAGCACACAAGGACGGGCACCCTCCGCGTGCACACAGACACGCTCATCAGCCCCGTTCCCCACTCTTCTCAGCCCTGAGAGGGCCCACAGCCCCGCCTTCCCCAGCTCCCAACAGACACCTGTCCGGGCAGCCCCAGGCCCTGCCCATTATGGAAGGCGCCTATACCTGCCAACCCGGTGCCCGGAGTCAGTGTCTCCCTCTACCCGTGCGCCCCTATCTCCTTGTTCCCTGGCTACCTGGGCCACTGGCCCAGCGCACAGCTCCCACCAGCAGGAAGTTCCTCCAGCTGGGACCCTCCAGCCCTCTCCTCCTGGTCAGCCCCAGCAGGGGCCCCCCACCTCAACGTCCAGGGGAGTCCCGCTCGCTCCTACCCCACGGGCCTGCTGGGTCCCTCCCTTATACCTTTCTCCACCTCTCTCCCCTGGCCCTCTGCGCACAGCTTCCTCCCACCCCCCAGCGAGCTCCAAGTTCTCACTTCCAGCAGGGAGGGAGATTCCCTCTTCCTCCCATGACCGAGAGGGACTCCCCTCCTCCTTGCCACAGGGGATGGGGGCAGCAGCCCATTATCCAGCCCCAAGTCCCCGCCTCTGGCCGCACAGCCCGGGAAGAGAGAGCCTTTACCCAGGACCACGGGGACTAAGACACCAGCTCTGAGGGTGGCACCCTCCATGGGGCAGGGGCGGTGAAGAGGAACGCTCCATCTCACCCCGGGGGAAGGTGACAGCCCGGGAGCTGCCAGGGGGTGCAGAAACTCCCCAAGCAACAGGCGAGCTCTCCGCCCAGCGGTCAGGCCCCGCTAGTGCAGGGGCGCAGGGCCAGGCCCCCAGGCTCAGCCGCCAAAGAGCCGCCCCCCAACCCAGCCGGGACACGAAGCCGGGATCAGCTCCAGGCACTTCCCCTTCCCCTAGAACCTCCGCTCTGGCCCCCGGGGACAGGGCAGGATGCCCCTCCCTGACCAGCCGTGTGCAGCGCCTCGCTCGGCATCACTCAGCCGGGGCTTCATTCCCAGAGCTTATCCTCACCCTCCCGAGGGCCTCTGGATATGAACTCCAGGGCCCGGAAGCTGTCCAGGATGCAGAAACTGACTCTAGTCCTTACCTGCAGCCCCTATGAAATCTCCACCACCAGGACAGAGTCCCACTTCTGTCCCCTGCCCTGTAAGCCCCAGATGCAAGCAAAGTGACACATCCAGGACCGCCATGCTCAGCCAGAAGAACATCCTCCCACAGGGAATAACACACACCTCACCGCTATGACACCAGTGGTCACAGGGACGCAAGGCCACCGTGAAACGGCGCCGCCTGGACGCAAGCAAGACCCACAACTACAACAGCCCAGGCCTCCTCCTGGGGGAAACTGAGGCCAGGGGTGAGGAAGAGGGGCTCTGTCAGAACTCCTGCGCACATACACATTCCTGCTGAGCCCCACTGTGGCCCACCCACGCAGGCCCCCACCCCTGGCCCTGGCCACCACGCACGGAGGAAACTGAGCTGGCCCGAGAAGGCCTGGGAGCCCAGCGGGATGGTCAGGGACCAGGGCTATGCCAGCTCCCGGCTAGCCTGGATGAAGCCCGTGGGGGCCGAAGAGAAAGCAGAAGGCCCTAGACATCGGCCGCCGCCACCACTTGACTGAAACCAGTACATTCTAGACCTTCTCCAGCAGCCACCTCCCTTCCTGTCTTCAGGCACAGGCAGAGGGTCAGCCCAGCTCCAGGGAGAGAAACTTGGGGGCGTTGGGGAGTGATGGGGGGGTGGGGAAGAGCCAGCAGTGGGAGAGTTCCCATCAAGAGCAGGATTAGCTCTCCTGGTATGCCTCTGTCTGTCCCCAGGCGGTTCCCAAGTTCTGAGGAAGGTGGTGGCCACACCCCAGAGCCCCACACACCCCTCCACCCCCACAGCTTTACCCCAACCTCTCAAACCAGCTCCTCAGGCTCTGGGCAGTGTGCTCCACCAGCACCAGCCAGCTAATTCCAAGTTAAGCCAAAGAATCTAGTCTGGCAATGCCTGGGCAGCTCCACCCAGGGCCTCCCTGGGACTCAGGTGACCCCGGAGACCCCCAGCCCATTCCCTGCCCTTGTCCGCTGCTGGCCTTCTCCCTCCACCAGTCTTCCGTGGTTTACTCTCTCAGGTGCAACCCTGGGCCCTGGACTGTAGCCTCACCACCCTGAACCAAGTCTGGCTGGTCCAAGTCCCCAGCTCTGTGGGGTTAGCTCTTCAAGGGGCTGCCCAAACCAGGACCCCTGAATCACTGCTTAAGGGCCTCCCTGTCACCAGCACGAAGCCCCGCCTGACTTACGTGGCGCCCTATGTGTCCTTGTTCGATGACCAATGTTCCTGCCTGTCATCTCTTCAGGAAAAGGCTTTAGAGAGGGGCTTAGACACCCTCCAAGCCCCATTTTGAAGCTGGCAGACCCTGTGTCCTATGCTAGCCCAACTCTCATTGTCCCAGGTCCTCTCCCTCCCTGCCCCACCCCACCTCCTTCATACCCCAGCTCACAGCTCAGAGCAAGGAAGTACCCCCTAAGCCTGGGGCGCCCTTCGACTCCCCACTCTGCACACTCTGCCTACCTTGTGCTGGCCCAACCCATTATCCCTTTGGGTCAGGAGAAGGAAGTCTCCCCATTACGCTTGGGAAAGGAAGTGAGTGCCACACCCTGCCGCAGGGATTTCCCTCATGGCAGGGCAAAGGAAGAGACGGAAAAGAAAGCAGAATCTGCCCCCCTACTTTAGACGCAGCATAGGTGCAGGGCCTGAAAATGCCTTCCAAAGCACCTTCAATCTCTTCCTCTTCCCCACCCCCCCCCCCGCCTCCACCTATCCCTACAGCCCCCACACTGTCACTAGGTCCCATAACACCAACCCAGTCCCCACCAACGCTGGACTGTGCAAGGAGGAGCAGGTGATCCCTGCCTCCGGGAGGCTGGATTCTAACAGAGGAAACTATTTCAAAAGCAATTATTGGGAGCCCAGCGCTGTGCTGGGGACACAGAGGTAAATACCCGAGTCCTTTTTCCTCCCAAACTCCAAGTCATTCTCTAAGAACCCCACTACAGGGGATGGTCCCACTCTGCCGTTCCATAAACCCACTGCACGGAGCAGCGCTGTCAGCAGCACCCCGCGGGCTCCCTGGGGGGCACTCGCCACCACCTCTCTGCAGCCACACCCAGTGAAAGGCGAGAGCACACACCACGCACACAATTCTCTGTGGCCACGTTGTGCAAAAGCGCCAGGGCCGTCCCCCACCTGGTGCGAGCGCCCAGCTAGAGCTGTGAGTTGCCCCGTCTGCCCGCTCGGCTCCCCTCCCACGCAAGGGGCACAGCCAGGCCTGCTCAGACCCCACGTGTCCCTCGCGGCCAGCGACGCCCAAGGGCTGCGCCCCCCACACCCCGGGCCCTGGCACTGCAGGGGGCGCCCAGGCCAGCCAGGGGAGGGCCAGGCCCTCCCACGCTGCACTCCCTCTCCCCGCATGGGAAAGCCTTACATAACACTGCGCTCCGAACACACCCTAAGCACTCTGCCTTTCCAACTCCATGGCAGGACCTCGTTCCCCCAACCCTGTCTCCTGGAGCGCGCGGCTGGAGCGGAGGGTTCCCGAGACGACAGCTAAGCCCTCCTCCTACGCGGAGCCGGCTCCCGCCCCCACCTCCCACACACAGCCCCTTCCTCCCCCTCCCCTTTGCCCCTCACCACTCCTCCCCGAGTTCTGGTTTGAATTAGTCAGCGGCTCCAACCACCACATTCCTCAGGCCGCTGGCGCCGTGCCAGGCGCTGGGGCGGGGGCCATCCCGCCCTGACGGGTTTGGGAGTGGGGTGGGGGAGAGCGCACCGCCCCCGAAAGGGAAGGGGCGGTGCCGAGGGCCGGGCCGCCGCACAGTACCCCCCCTCCCCGCCCATCCCCCCCCGCGCTGGAATCTCCCTAATTACGCCCCCCACCCCCACTCCCACCCGTCCCGCCCCGAGGCGCGCTGCAAACTTCAGGCAGCACGGCCTTGGAGGAAGAAGGGAGACTTCTGGAGCGGGGAACGCGGCGGGGCCAGACTAGGGCGGGGCAGCTGGAGAGGGGCTGAGAAAGGGAGAGGCTGGTGGTACAGAACTGGGTGGGGCCGGGAAGACTCCGGACGCACAGTTAGAAGCGGAGGTGTGGGGAGCGGGGAGGGACAGCGGAGGGGGCGCGGGGTGCGGGGGCTCCGGGAGGGGCCGAGGGGCCGCGGCGGCGACCTCGGAAACTTCTCCAGTAAACACGGAATAGGAGCGGGAGCAGAGCGCTTGAGCCACCGCCCCAAGGAGAAGAAGGGGATGGGACGGGGACCCACAGGGGCCCCCAGGCCAGAAACGGGGCCAGCCCTCGAGAGAAATAAGGACTGGAGCAAAACACGCTTCGGAGCGATTTTCCAACTTTGCCCAACTTGCGCCCCAACTCCGAAGGCACAGTTTGGCTCCCAGGGCGCGACGCGTCGCCTCCCCGCGCGGCCCCGGGCTGCCCAGCTTGCTCCACACTGTTTGAATCGTCGCAGTGCGCCCGGCCCAAGCGCCTGGTCCAAGCCCCTGCAGCCCCTCTCCCCTCACCGGTTCTCGGAGTCCGGCTAACGCGGCGCCGCGGCGCGCCCGGTGCCCCTACCTGCGCGCTCAGCCCCCGGGCACAGCCATAGCCCGCGCGGGGCCCCAGGTCGCGGTGCTGCGGCTGCTGCAGGCGGCGAGCCCCGGTCGGGGCGGGTCCGGCAGGGCGGGCGGTGCAGTCCCCGCGGCGGAGCTGCTCCGAGTGGCCGGGCCCCCGCGCGCGGAGGCGGCTCTTGTAACTCCGGCTCCGGCGGGCGGGTCTGCCCGGAGCAGTGGGGAGAGGGCGGGGCCGGGCGGGGCCGGAGCGGGGCTGGGACGGGCGAGCGGGCCGACCCGGCACGGACCCGGGAGCGGGCTGCTGGGGGGGGCGGGCACTGGGGGTCGCGGGGACGAGGGGGCGCCGCACGTCCGAGGGGCTGCCTTCCCCCGCCCCCCTCCAGTGCCCCCTGCCCTGGCCCGCGCCTGGATCTACCCCCCAACGTTTTCAGTGTGTGGTCTCCCCGACAAGAAACTCCCCGAAGCTCCCTGAGGCTCATCTTCCCAGCTGGAACTGCGAATCAGCTCATTTTGCAAGAAGGGCCAAGAAGTTCAGAAAGCGGCTGGGGGGCTTGGGTGCTTGGGCCGCGACCTCCTGCCTGACGCGGACCTTTGAGTTTTCTCTCAACCCAGGCATCTACACTTCAAATCCCAGGCCCCAGGCTCTTCACTTGGTTCCCAAGCTTCATGCAGCCGCGCCCATTTCTCGCCTCCCCACTTTCGGAGGGCCCCCCCAATCCCTCCCCCCTCAAAACCGGTCTGTGGACGCTGGCCCCACCCCTGGAGTTAGGGTGCCCATGTGGAGTCCCCAGTGCCCCACGCACCACGGTGCAGCTCCCGCCGCTGCAGCGACACGGGAGTCAGGCCGGCAGCCCTTGGCGGAGCAGAGCCGGAGGCCCACCTTCCTCTGAGGACTCCGGAGGGAAGCGTGAGCTCCAGCCTTGCCTCCACTTACCCACTTCTTATCCGAGCCCCTCCCGCACCTACCCACTTGCAAGGACGCTATTTCCAAATTTACTGCCATTTCCCACAGCTACTTCTAACTCCATGAGATTTTATTAACCGTTTAATGATGGGGTGCGGGGAGGGGCCTTCTGACTACCCAGCCCCCCTTCCACACTCCCATTCTCTTCTCCCCCACGAATCCTCTTATCCTCCCTCCTAGGTGGCCACCCACTACCCACATCAAGGTAGTTTTCCTTCCTTCCCAAATGCTGAGGAAGGAAGACCCCAGGCTGGGGCCCTGAGACCACCTGGCCCCAGGCGGGAGCACTCTCCTCACGGCAAGATCATGAGTGGGCTGGGGCTGAGACCTGCGGCCCTGTCCTCTGAAATGGCAAACATGTTTACAGGCTAAAAATACCCAGCAGTCAACTCTGCTGCCAGCCCTGGGGGCTGTGTCCCAGGTCCAGTTACCAGCACAGGCCATGGGGGAGGGAAGACACGGCGAAGGAGCCATAGCTGTGCAGAGACTCACACAATGGACGCAGAAAGGTGGAGACACATGTGTAGACATTCAGACAGGCATAGACATGCAAAGACAGACAAAGCAGAGACTTGGGCACCAGCATTCTCTCTCTGTCTCTCTCTCTCACTCTGTCTCTGTCTCTCACTTGCTCTGGTGCGCAAGTGCGTTTTCTCTCCCCCCCCCACCGCACCCCCCACCTCTCTCTCTCTCTCTCTCTCTCTCACATACACACACACACACACACACACACACACACACACACACACACACACGGAGGCACCCAGATAGGGACTCAAACCCACGGCAGAGGCAATGGCAGGCACACACATCACAAACCCAGGCTTTGGAAAGAACCACCTCCTCTATTTTGTTCTGTACCCCTTTTCTAGAATCTTATTAAAGAAAACATCTAGGGCACCGGGTGGCTCAGTGGGTTAAGCATCTGCCTTGGGCTCAGGTCGTGATTCCAGGGTCCTGGGATTGAGTCCCGGCATCGGGCTCCCTGCTCAGCGGGGAGTCGGCTTCTCCCTCTGCCCCTCCCCCCTGCTCATGCTCTCTCTCCCTCAAATAAATAAATAAAATGTTTAAAAAGAAAACATCTAAACTGTTCAACTTTGGGATGCTTTTAAAAACAAATACCGAGAGCTCATTATTCCCTTTACTGATGGCTTTTTAATTCTTAATTTCATTTTCAATGACATTTATTCAGCTTTTAACAAATGCAGCAAGAATACAGAGAAACTAAAGGGGCCCGTCATGCTGCGAGTCAGATAATCCCTGTTGACATTTTTTAAATAGAATCAATGCCTCCACCTGCTGAAGAATGTAAACAATACAGAAAGGTAGACCGATAAAAAGTAAATGTCTCCCTCCTCCCCTACCCAGTCCCTCTCCCCAAAAGTAACCACTGTTAACAGTTGACCGAAGGATTTTTAACTTTATGAATCACCAGGTTCCTTAAAGTGCACGTTTTCCCGGGACATATTTAAAAGGGGAGTGGATTTACACCTAGGTTTTCGGAAACATCGGTGATGCACCACAGAGACACAGGGGAGCTGCAGAAGGTCGATGGGAGTTTGGAGGGAGGGGCTGGAGCAGCGGGAAAGGACCAGTGGGGGAGGGTGTGGATGTTGTACCCTCCCCACAGCATGGGCTCTGTCAGCCCCCCCCCACCCCCCGCGAGTGAAAGAGCAGAGGCTAGTGTCCTGGGCTCAAGGCCAACTTATCTGCTCCACTGTTTGTTCTGGCCACCCTCTTGGTCAACAGAAAAGAAGGCAGGAGAGCCTGGTTTGGGGAGCAGCTATGGAGTAGGGATTACTGTCCAGGTCCTTCATTCAGGGGTAGGAGTGTCATACCTGGTGGCGGGTGGTCATGGGGACTGGCTCCTGCCCCATTGCGAGCTAGGAGAGGAGAGGAGGAGTAACCTAGACCCTTGGCCCGTAAAACACACACACACACACACACACACACACACCCCACGATCCGTACCCACTGGAATGGGGAGCTGGGCTTTCCTAGGTCAGCCTCCTCGGCCCAGGGGAAGGGAATATATTCAGCAATTTTCTTTTTTTTTTTTAAGATTTTATTTATTTATTTGACAGAGAGAGACACAGCGAGAGAGGGAACACAAGCAGGTGGAAGGAGAGGGAGAAGCAGGCTCCCCGCTGAGCAGGGAGCCCGATGTGGGGCTCCATCCCAGGACCCTGGGATCATGACCTGAGCCGAAGGCAGACGCTTAACGACTGAGCCACGCAGGCGCCCCGATTCCGCAATTTTCAATGGTGTAAGTGGAGACACACACTCTTTTGGAAATGTCTGCCAACCCTTCTCCTGCCCACTGCTGTAGCCCCCCCACCCCTCACCCCTCACCCCCAGAAGCTGTAATGGTGATTGTGTCTCAGGCCACTGCAGGTACTATCATGTGTTAGATCATTTAATCCTCACATGCTCTGGGAAGAAATGGTCTCAGAAAGGGTTAGTGATTCACCTAAAGGCACACAGCCCTCAGAAGCAGGAGTCAAAACTCCCCCTGGCATCTAGGCTCCATGAGAGTGGGGATTTTCTTGTTCTTTGTTGTCTGCCCTGTGCCTAGAGTAGTGGCGGGCATATGGCAATCACTGAAGAAGTTTGTGGAATGAATGAATGAATAAATGAATGAATGAATGAATGAACTACAGGGATAACTGGCCCCAAAGTCCATGTCCTTTTCACAACAGCATCCTGAACCCCACACTTCCTTTTACTCTCAGCCTCCAGGGAGCAATTCCCCCACTTACCGGCCTCTCATGCCTCTGCACAAACATTTATCCTGTGTGCAGCACTAGGCCGGGGGCCTCTGCTGCTGGCGCTGGTGGTGCATGGGATAAAGAACCTGACAGGATGGGAGCCTGGGTGGCTCAGTCGGTTAAGCGACTGCCTTCGGCTCAGGTCATGATCCCAGGGTCCTGGGATTGAGTCCCGCCTCAAGTCCCACATGGGGCTCCCCGCTCAGCGGGGAGCCTGCTTCTCCCCCTGTTTGTGTTCCCTCTCTCTCTCTGTCAAATAAATAAATCTTTAAAAATAAAAAAAGGAAAGAAAGAAAGAAAAAAAAAAACCTGACAGGATGGAATCTCTGCCCTCACAGTGCTCCGTCCTGAAGGAAATGTATTCTGAGCTCCTTGCAGGTCCTATGCATTGAAAATGGGACATTATCTTTTCTGCCAGATCCTTTACACTGATACCTCACTCCCCCAACATACACTCATGGATACACACACTATTTTTTTTTTAATTATAAGGATTTCCCCCACCACCGTCTCAACTTTGCAAAGAAAACCTTTCTCTTTTTGAAGGTTTCAGATGCCTCTGTCAAAATCAGGGCTGGTGGGGGGGGAGGCTGTTCTGGGAGGACTTCAGGCCTCCTGCCAGCACGCACGCCCTCACCTTTCCGAGGTATGCGACCTCCCGGGCCTACGGATTCATTGGCAAAGGTAGGTGAGTCCTAGGACTCGTCATCACTGGGATACCCCAGCTTCCCCAGAAGTTTTGCTCCCTCCCGCCCTCAGCACCCCCCCCCCCCCCCCCGCCGCCGGGAGTTCCCTGATATACACACACGCATAGTGTGTGTGATGAACCTTGGGCTTCTTTGTTGCCAGGCAACGTGCCTCTGTTTTGTTCCTATTATGCCTGTTTCCATGGCAACCACAAAGGGAGCTCTGTGGACAGGCCCCTTGCCAGGGGATTCCCCTTCCCCTCCCTCCTCCCCACAGTCCCCTTCTCTAAAATCAGTGTATTACAGGGAAGACAAGACGCCGGCTGCTCAGAGAGTAATCATGGCTTTTAAACTGTGATCCCAGCAAGGAAGTGAAGTGTGCAATCTCTTTGCAGTCTCTTTGAAAGCAGACTCCCCGCCATTCCCATGAGGGCCCTTTGGCGTGTCAGCCTTGGAAGCAGAGAAATGACTATTACCCCTTCTTTGAGCCATCTGGGATCTCCCCGACCCCACCTCCACCCCACACACAAACACCCGGAGAGGAGCATCTCCGCCAAACATCAGGCCCTTCGATGTTCCCTTTCATTGCTTCCTAATCTGTCTTCCCCAGTGATGCTGGGATCCAGACATTATTGCCTAAGCAATTCTGAAACCCCAAACTCCTAACCCAAACTCAAAATATGAAGCCCAGTATTCCAGCTCAGTTCAAACCCCAGCCTGTACTTAAACCTCGGACTTCAAATAAGGAGTTCCTGAATCACTCAGATCAGACAGCCGGGATACCGGAAACCCGCCCATTATACTCGGTCCTAATTGAAATCTTCAGGCCAAAGCAGAACCCAAGTTAAAGCTGACTAGAGAACAAGAGACTTGCACGCAGGGCTCTGAGTACAGACTCTGGGAGGAAGGAAGGCACAGAACGAGTGTCCAGGCAAGAGAAAGGAGACAAAGTGGGCAGGGAGCGCAGGACAGGTGGACACGGTGAGAAATGGCCTGGAGGCTGGGGAGGTGTGGGTGTGCAGATGCGGGGAGAGCAAGAAGAGAGGGGAAATGGGGAGCTGAAGTTAAGGAACACAAGGGGGCGGAACACGAATGAATAGGGCTGTGAAGGGGAGGGAGGGGGGCCGAAAAGCAGAGCTCAGAACTGAGCTGGGGACGGGGCAGGCCGACGGTAAACAGGAGCCGAGGGAGGGAGGGAGCCGGAGGGAGCGGAGGGAGCAGCAGACGCCCCTGCCCGCTCCCCTCCCCAGCAGGGAGCGGGGAGCGGGCAGGGAGGGGAGCACCAGCCTCCTCTCCCCTTTTTTGGAATCTGCCTTTCCGCCACCCTTTCCAACTTCCTCTGCCTTTCCTCCAGTTCCGGGGGGTATGGGGCACCAGCCCGGGTTTCCCTCCCTCTGCCGCTTGCACTTCCCAAGTCCAGTCTAAGGAGATTAGACTGAGCAGTGAAGGCAGGGCCTCAGCTGCCCAGAGCCTGAGTCACCACATAGTTGAGGTTCCTGTCACCATAAGTCCCGCCTCTGCTACACCCTGCGCCCTCTGCCCGCCCCAGGACTTGGAGGACTTGGAGCGCGGGGTGTTGACCTGCCCTGGGACCTGCTCTACTTCTGTGCTCAATACCCAGCCAGGGCTGCTGGCAGCCTTGGATACCACCCTCTGTCTGCCTCCGAAACCAAGTGTGCTTGGTCCATCATAGTCGCCCCGCAACTTTGGGAGAAGCGCCGCCCTCCTGCTCTTAGGAAGCAAAGTGACTCAGTGAATGGCTTCGCGAACTGTGGAAAGACTTGCATGCACCCTTGATAAGTCACTTCCCCTCTCTGCGCTCGTTAAGGGACTACCTAACGGGGTCTCTCGGGCAATCCTGCATGAGGTACCTTCTGTAAGTCTGAGTCCAAGAGATGGAGTGTTCCCACTGAGGAGGGTGGGATAAAGGAGCATGTTTGCTCACCCCTGTCCTAACAGGAGTGGGTGGGGTAGGGCCCAGGCACTGCCACAATAGGGCAGCCAACACCCTTGGCAACTCGGTGATTCAGACCCCGCAGAGAGTCGGCCTGGCAGGAAAGCACCCGTGGCTTCCTTGTGACTCAGGGGAAATGCAGATCTCCCTGAAGAATGACTGGCCAGGGACCCGTTATAACCAACTCATCTCCCCTGCACCTAGAAAGTTTCCGGTCCCAGTGTAGCCCTAAGCTCATGGGACCGCCTCCCTGGCCTACTCAGCTGCTTCCAGCCCTCCTACCTGGCCCTGGCAAGCCCTCTACCCTCGGCCTTCAACTCCATAGCCCTCCCTGCCCTGCCATGTCCCCTCAGTCACCCTTTGGCTCTGCCCAACCACACTATCCACCCCCATCCTGGCAGAGCCAGCCAGATGATTGCAAAAGGGCTGAGCCAGCGAGAGAGGCCCTCACATGACACCTGTTCCTGCTTCGGAGGGGAGGGGGCAGCTGGAAGTAGAGGGAAGCACATTCCATGGGAGATCCGATCAGAAATAGCCCCAAACCCTGACCGTCTGGCCCCTGCTCTGCACATGGCCAAGCCCATCGTGTAAACAAGCTCCTGTCGGTAGGCGCCCCCTTTGGAATCCTGAGGAAATGAGGAAAGCAGAGGGTAGGGGGAGGTTCCCCCGAAAGGGAGGGGGCCACAAGAATGAAAAGAGCCCCAGGAACACCTAGAGACCCAGGGTCACCAAGGACACCTTTGCCACTTAAGCAGCCCCACGTGCCCATGGCATTCTGCCTCTTCCGAGACACTCAAGTGACTACAGCACAGAGCTCAGCAGCCACCTTGACCGCCATTCCACCCATCGCTTGGGTGCTGAAGCGCTGGGACACCCCAGTAATTCCACTGGAGTAAAGCGACAGCCTCCCCCGGGAGCCGTGCCAGCCTGATTAGAGCAAACAGACAGGAGCAGGTGACTGTTTCCCTAACCTTTCAGGAGCACTGGCATTTTGGCTCCAGGGCATGGGGGGCGGGGGCACGGAGAAGAGGGTGAGGACCCCAGAACGGCACTCAAACACACAGACGACCAGAGCCAGCTGGGGGAGTTACCCTGCAGTGTAGGTACGGCTGGTGGGGTTACCCTGCAGTGTAGGTACGGCTGGTGGGGCGAGCCAGGGAAGCCACAGCCACCCAGGAAAACCCACTTGACGTGTGGAGGGAAAGTTCTGGGTTCCGAGGACAAAGAGTGCTGGTTGCCATGAAAACCACAATATTGATTTCAGAAATGACTGGGTGGATCCTCCAAAACACTTCATTCCTCTCCCTTCAACATTCTAGAGCCTTCCCCCACCTCTCAAAAGGGGAAGTGGCACTTCTGGGGCATGTGGGCAGCTGGTGGGATGGGTCTGACCCAGGGTGCCGAGCAGCTGTCCAGCTCCAGCTCAAACAGGACAGGAAAAAAAGGAGACAATCTAGGTCTTTCTTGGAAGAACTTAAGGCTTTTGGCGTCTTAATAAGTGACGTAAGCAGGAGGGCCAACAAAGCTAAAATAAATAGCTGCTCATAACCAGTATCTACCGGTTTGTATACAGGCTGAACCAAGTCTCAGGCGTTCCCATTCATGCGCTGGGCTCGGTAAAGATTTCCTCTGCAGCGGGGACGATGGATGGAGCTACAAGAGTGTTATGCTGAGTGAAATAGGTCCGTCAGAGAACGACAATTACCGTATGCTTTCACTCGTATATGGAATTTAAAAAACAAAACAAATGAGCAAAGGGAAAAAAAAAGAGACAGACCAAGAAACAGACTCCTAACTATAGAGAGCAAACTGGAGGTTCCCAGAGTGGAGGGGGTGAGGAGATGGGTGAAACAGGGGATGGGGATCAAGGAGTGCCCTTGTCTGATGAGCACTGCGGATATGTGGAAGTGTTAAGTCACTCTATGGTACACCTGAAACTAATATAACGCTGTATGTTAACGACACTCAATTAAAATAAAGACTTCATCTTCAGTCGAAAGCACCTGAGCCCAGACCCCTCTCCCTCTCCCTTCTCCACCACCTCTTCTAGACGCTCTAAGATTTTGCCCAGCAAGTGGCTAAAACGGCTCCCTCCTTCCATCTTACTCTAGTTCTCCAAGATCACGCCCTGTTCTCAGCCCCGACCCACTCACAAGGCCCCCTTCCCTTTCCTCCCTGCGACTCCGGCCCGGGCCCCAGCAGGCACGCGCTGCAGTGTGGGCGCCGGGATGCCAGCTCTAGGTGGTGCGCGGGTGGCACGAGCCTCCCGAGCATGTCAGGAAATGGGCCCAACAACCAGAGACGGCCCCCTGGCGCAGGCGCTCACTGGCCGCCGGGGCGAGCCGGGCGGGGCCGGGAGGAGCAGGGTAGCCGGGCCGAGCTCCAGCAAGCGCGGGGCCCCAGCCAGGATCGGGAGGGCGCGAGTCCCAAGCACAGCCCCAAGCCCGCGGCTGTGCGGTGACTCAGGCCTCCCCGGGGCAGGGCGGGACCGAACCAACTCCAGCTGGACCTCCCCTTTCCCCGCCCCACATCTGCCGCTAGAAACTCCTGCTGTTAACCTCTTTCTTGCCCACCAGGGCAGGGCAAAGGCCCTCTAGTTCCAACCAGCTTCGGAGGCCAACAGCTACCCTGCCCGAGGCCACAACACCCTCCCCCTGGGCTGCCCACCCCATCTCCGTTTGAGGGTCCTGGCCCTCCCCCAAGCACAGGCCTGGCCTCATCCAACAACCTGGCCAACTCTCCTCTGCACCAAACCACCAGCGCTTGAGGCACCGGAGGCAGGACGTGCAGATGAGTCACCCTTCCTGCAGTCTGAGGGAGGCTGAGAGGCGGGATCCCCCAGACCCGCCCAGTCCACGTTGGGGTGCCAGGCCTGCTACTGCCCAAGTTCTAGCCCCCCCTGCTGAAACCCCGTTTTCTGCAGCTGGGCCCCACACCTGGTCTCTGGCCTGCCCCTTCAAACCTTGTAGAACTGGGGTCTCTCCCGACTAAGTCCTCAGCTACTGGGAAGGTCAAGGATACTGGGAAGAGGGTGAAGATTACACAAGCGAAGGAGCAGGGAGGTGTGGTGGGAAACGGAATTTGTGAAGGGAGTCTGACAGGTTAGGTGAGGCCCCGGCACCCAGTGCAGGGCCCAACCCAGCCAGCAACTAGCACTTTTATTTTTTTATTTTTTTTTTTAATTTTATTTATTTATTTCAGAGAGAGAATGAGAGATAGAAAGCACGAGAGGAAAGAGGGTCAGAGGGAGAAGCAGACTCCCCGCCAAGCGGGGAGCCCGATGTGGGACTCGATCCCGGGACTCCAGGATCATGACCCGAGCCGAAGGCAGTCGCTTAACCAACTGAGCCACCCAGGCGCCCAGCAACTAGCACTTTTAGATTCTAACCAAGAGCAGCCCGGAATGCTTGGAAGCAAGACAGGTGGCAAGTTTGGATCCAACTCAATATGACCTGCCAGGGAGCAAACCCTGAGCAAGAACCAGCCCATCCTCACCCAGCTGGATTCCACATTGGGACTCTCCTCCGCCCATTCTTCCCAGAACCCCTACTGTAGTCCAAGTACCCAGCTAGATGACTGCCCTACACTCTCCCAAGCTACCAGACCATCTGCACCTGGAAAGATCACCTTCTTCCCCTCCCATGCTAAGCCCTTCTCCGTGCTTGGACTAAGGGTGGGAGAGAAATAACACGTATAAAACCATAAACTAAAGACCAAAGGTTGAATCGTGACTGTTTCTGCATCTGCCTCAAAATGTGAATCAAACTGGAGCTTTCCAACTTCACCTGAACTGGTAATACACAGGGAGACCTTTAATGCTTTTCAGAAAGACAATAGTAAAAAAAGACAAAGTAGGAACAAGACCCTGTGAAGAAAGGGCATGATAAAAATTAAGCTCAAGAGAGAAAAACTAATACCCCCCGGTCTGAGTGGGTTCTTGGGTGGCAAGTCAGACTGCTCCACATTCCAGGAAGCAGCAAGGCACATTTCCAGTACAGGCTCCAGCGACACCCACTGGGGTCAAAATCCTGTCTCCAGAGGCAAGCCACTTACATCTCCGAACCCCACTTCCTTACGAGAAAGTAGGAATACCCCAGAGACGATCCGCAGCCAGGTTAGGGCCAACAGGCCGGTCCTGTTCTGAGTAGTCTGTGCCTGATATTCCTGCCTGTTTGAAATATTTCAACTAAGACCCTCGATGCCACCACCTCCCTCCCTCCCAGGGCAACTGTGAGAAATAACGTGAAGTTCCTCCACACACTGTGCGCTTTCGTACCTTAGCAATCCGGTCCTGAAGAATTGGGTAGTTAGCAAGCTCCATGTCACCACCCACCCTAGCTGCATCCAGTCTTTCCCAGCTAGGCTAGAAGTCAGTCATCACAGTACAGGCAGAGCGAATACAGTCAAAACTGAGAGAGGCCTCTCTTCTGCCCTTCTGAAGACTCCTCTCCTGCAAGGGGAGGTACTGCAGGCCCAGAAAATACCCTGCTCCAACGTATCTATACTCCCCTTTGAAGAAGCCATGACTCATAAAGGAGGCAGGACAGCTAAGGGTTCAATGTTCAGTTTCCTTTAATGACCCCCATCTCCCTGAAGGGCGGGTACAGGCAGCTAGGCGATGGCAAGACATGTTCACTTGAAGATCTTGCCCTGATTGAAGGTTTTGCCCACATGCTGGAAGGCCCCCTCCCAGGAAAAGTACTCTCGAACCAGCGTCTGGGTCTCCTCGCTGCCAGGATCCAGTTTCCGCCATGTGTACGACTCGTAGTCCACCTGCCAGTCTGGACTCAGCTGCGGATAGAAAGCCAGGTTAAGCAGCATGTGGTCAGTTACCAGACACTGTCCCATAGCTGTTACTTCCAGCTCAGACCCACGTCATCAGGTCCTAAAAGGCAGTGACCATGGCAGTCCTTCCTGTACACACTCCCTTAACTCTCCTGAATGCCTACAAGCGCAGGGACGCAGGCGGACTTCCCATCCCCTTGCCCCACCCCGAAGAGACAGATTCCTCCCCTACACCTTTCCTCACCGGAAAGGCAAGCTCCTGGCCTCGGAAGACCCAAACTCCAGAAATGGAGCTGCTGTTGTTGGTTCCAAAGAGGATGACACTGGCAAAGGCATTCTTCCTCAGCTTGTCCAACCGCTGGAACATTCCTGAAGGGTCGAGGGAGAACACGCAGCCTTTAGAATCACATCCCCCACTGCCTCGTCCTCCCCCTTCCTCTTCCTAGACCCACCCCCTTCTCACCAGTGATGAGGTTACAGCTCATGAAGGTCTGGGTGAGCTCCTCAGGGAAGCGGTACTCAGCGTACCACAGAGACCAGCCATCCTTATCAAAGTGCTCCCAAAAATACGGCAGCGCCACAGAAAGAGTGTCCTCGTTGGAGTACTTGCGCTTAAATTCATCCAACACAAAGGTACTGAATGGAGAAAAAAAGCAAGGTCAATGGGCAGAAAGCCCTCCTGAAGCAACAAAGGGTTGCCAGGCTAAGAGAAACTAAGGGCAAATTTCACTTAAAATATACTGGTTTAAAGGAGGAGGTCACTGGATCGGCAGGTGGGTACAACCTTGTAAGGGAAGAGAGCGAAGGGCATATAAAGAGGGGCATAGGGCACTCCTCTGCTCCCTATCTGCAGCCTAAGTCAGCTAAGCTTGAGGAGGGTGGGACCGACCGGGCTGGGGGGGAAGGGGGCGCTGAGGGAGCCCTGCCCCAAGAAAAGCACGGAAAACTGCTGCCCCCTGGTGGAGACCCAGAATGAACGCTCCTCCTTTGAGGGCCTGCCCCCTCCAGGGCCCTTTCCCACTGAGTCACACTCAGTCCCTGACTCACCACAGGCCTCTTGGGGTTACACACACTACAGTGTGACAGCAATGTAAGTAGCAAATGCTATCAAAGGGCCTCCGCCCCAGGCCCCAGACCTTATACCCGTGGCCTTGAGTCACTATGCCCGGAAACAGGCCCCGATGCTGCAAAGCCCTTAGTTCAGATATTTGAAGCAACCTGGCACAAGGAAGGCTCTGCCCTGTAGAGAGTCCCTCCCCTCGTGGTAGGGTGCGCTTTCTTTCTTTTCAGTTATAAAAAACCACATGCTGACTGAAGAAAATCACCCACAATGCCAGCAAACAATAGAACGGATTAATATGTTTATGTCCTTCCCGCTGGTGGCTTCCAGAGCTGGTGGCTTTCCAGAGACGATGTGTGGAATTCTGTGCCTTCCATGATTTGTTCATTTAATACTGTCACCCCATCAGGAATTCTTTTTTACAAGTGTTTTAAGATTTTTTTATTTATTCATTTGCAAGAGAAAGAGAGAGAAAGCGAGAGCACAAGCAGGGAGGAAGGTCAGAGGCAGAGGGAGAAGCAGACTCCCCGCTGAGCAAGGACCCAGATACGGGACTCGATCCCAGGACCCCGGGATCACGACCTGAGCCGAAGGCAGATGCTTAACTGACTGAGTCACCCAGGCGTCCCTTACAAATGTTTTAGTGGCTAAATAATCCTCTACTGTATGACTGTGCCATAAACCTATTTTAAAAAACCTTTGCTAAATGTTTAATTGGCTGAATCATTCATTAGTATAAATAATGCCAACAAACCCTAGAGTTAAAACCATTCCTTTCCCTCTTTCCAGATAAGGTTAAGTGGTGTGACCTGCCCACTGTCACAATGTAGCAAAGGAGAAGCTGCCCTTGAACCCTGGGTCCTTCGTTCCTTCCCAAATCTGTAACGGAGACCTCGTCTGAAGAGTTTCCACCTCAACCACCCAAAAAAGGGACTGGGGATTTTTTCTTCACCCCCTCCCGAACTGTTCGAACTTTATAATTTATGACCACGTTGTATCCATTTCTCCCCAGATGAGGACAGGCTCTGAATGGCTCCTGAAACAAGTATAGCTGGAAGGCATTAAAAGAACTAGAACTGGGATGCCTGGGTGGCTCAGTCAGTTAAGTGGCTGCCTTCAGCTCAGGTCCCAATCC